TTTTGGAATAATATTATATACCTTCCCCTGTGGTCCGCTGGACTGCCAGAAGGTGCTGTGGGAGGAATCGATGAGACGATAGGCCTGGCTCTCGTTGCTCGAGATGGTGAGGTGTTTGACGATCTGATCCCAGTCCATGACCACAGAGCCTCCTCTCATCGCCTTCTTGCGGTGGCTGTAGTGACAGCAACACACACACACGTATGAGACACCTCAAGGCCTCTTTTGCTATAGACATTGTGCGCGGAAGTAATTGACGCATGTTTCGCCACAGAGCCCCCTCTCATCGCCTTCTTGCGGTGGCTGTAGTTACAGCAACACACACACGTATGAGACACCTCAAGGCTTCTTTTGCTACAGACATTGTGCGCGGAAGTAATTGACGCATGTTTCGCCACAGAGCCCCCTCTCATCGCCTTCTTGCGGTGGCTGTAGTGACAGCAACACACACACGTATGAGACACCTCAAGGCTTCTTTTGCTACAGACATTGTGCGCGGAAGTAATTGACGCATGTTTCGCCACAGAGCCCCCTCTCATCGCCTTCTTGCGGTGGCTGTAGTTACAGCAACACACACACGTATGAGACACCTCAAGGCTTCTTTTGCTACAGACATTGTGCGCGGTCAGAGCTTGCAGTTTTATTGCAAAACCCAAACTTAGTATATGCCCCTTGAAATAGTTGTGGTAAGGTAGATCAAAGCACACAGTGGAAACAAAATTTATGGTATGTGCAACAAGTCGACATCCAGGCTGAAATCACGGCATATTATACATGTGAAGCCAGCTGGCATGGTTGGCAATACTTTAGCTCAAGAATGTTGATTGCAATTCCCTGAGGACATGAACCGCTTTCAAGTAGCAGTGGGTATCACATTACAAATATTGGTCTTGATGCCACTTAGTGTACACACACAAAGACAAATTACATCATTAACCAACCTACTACAATTTCATTAGTACACTACAATATTATACTGGGCAGAGCTAGAAACCACACACACACACACACACACACACACACACACATGTGTGTGTGTTACTGATCAGCCTACGATTTTGAACTAGAGTTCCCAACAACCTTACCGTCTGAGGGCTTTTCTTCTGGAGTGAGGAGAGCCGACGTAGACAGCAGGTTGGCCCTGGTCGTCAATTCTCTCGAAGACGTGGTTGTGCGACTGGCCCTTGTCAAAACAGCTCTGACAGAAATCAAAGTCGCTGCAGACCTGACAGTGGTAGCGAGGGCCGTCAATTGGAGATATCTTACACCCACTGCAACTGCAGAGGAAGGGAGATGGAGCAAGGTAGGCAGACTGGGAGCACACATTAAAGGATGCACACAAACCCTAACAACATCCGTAAATAAGGGGTCAAATTATCACATGATACAACGCTCGCAATTTCAAAACTTTACATATAAAGACGATAAACTAGCCCAAGTTTTGAGAACAAAATTATTGAAGAAAAACCGGCAATTCAACAAAGAAACAATCTCCAGTAAAGAGGGAGGAGGAGGAGAAGAAGGAGACATGTAGATACCTGTGTCGAGGATGGCTCCCAGGGACAAGTTCCATCTCAGAGATGACTCCCGTCCAGTTGGCCTGCTCGGGGAAATTGACCGTCACGTCGATGCCGTTCCGGTTCAGCGTCTGCACCACTCCGACACTCTGGTGGCTTATGGAGCCCCACTTGTACCTGTCATTATACAGGCCATATAGAGAGGGGGGAATGACACATTAGCTGACTAAACAAATGCCACACATTTTGGCGAGTGAGCGCGAGCAGTTCAATTTATCATGCACACTTGAAATAGCATTGCAATGGTATTGCAATGGCATTCAATTTTTCACGCGTATTTTAAATCGCGTAAAATATTATGGTATGTGCAGTTCCCGTCGCATACAAATAGAAAACCCTGCATTCAGACGACTAGGTAGGCTGGCATTGCTCGCCGAATACTTAACACTTGGGGGAGAGAGTGTATATATACAGGGAGGGAGGGAAGAGGGAGAGAGAGAGAGTGAATTAAGCAAACACCCCACACGGTTATCAAAGACCCGGTGGTAAAAGGAAGGAGGGAGGAGGGGAGGGTGAGGTGCTGCGGAACGACAGATGATTACGTAAGGGTTCGTAATATGGCTGTCCTTTTTGGCTTCCAGTTTCAAAGTTCAAACCGCAACAAACCAAAGTTGTGGCTGGGGGGCTAAGTGGATTTGTACCGGCTCTTTCTCCCCCAGTGATGCCCGTTACGAGGACATACGTAGGACAAATGGTTGCTACTACGGAAGTTTATCTTCCCCTCCACGTGACCTCAACCGTCTCTCGGTGTCATATATACGTCTGTCTGCTGGACACTTGACGTACGTACATATAGAATCATGACTGGACCTGTAAATTACGTATCCACAAACAGGAGGGTCAGGGGTTAAGTTTACGTACTTCCAGATTGCATTGATGTCAACAACATTAAATCGTTCCCGGTCTATTTGCAAAAACGCGTTCTTCCATAATAACCCGTCATCAAAAGCTTGCAAGAAGAGAAATGCTCAGGATTTTTGGCAACCCAAATGGGTGCAGGGCTTGGGGGTCCATTAGGCCGTCAAAATGACGCCGTGTTACGGTAAAAGGAATGCTACTTTCGATCTAAAAGAGATTGTTGCTTGCTCAAGCAGGCAGCACGTGTGCAGAAAACATAGATGCTTGTTTTATTGCATTTTCATGGGAGCATTAAAAATGCAGCAGTTGATATTAAAACCTTTATACAGAGTTTGATATCTCTTATTGCACGATGTTTTAATTGGTCTACTCCTACATGTTTACAACCATTAAACGGTGCTACAATATCTGTATACATCACTATACAATCCATCATAATTTCTGTTATATACCCCATGTAAATTAACCAATCAAATATAGTGACTAAGCAATTAGTGTGAAATAGTTGTGCCCCGAAAGAAAACAACTTCAAGCTGCCAAGTTTTGATTTTCTTCGATACGAAGAACTTCCGTCACAACAGAGGCTGTAGATGGAGACGGGGACGCAAGATGGAGGCGAGATTGGATCGAGACGCACGGGAGGAAACTGAAGCTCCTTTCTCTTGAGGTGGTTTTCGCTGGGCACAGGTAAGGCACCACTGCATTTAGCCTGCCCCATATGCATGAGGACAGGCGCAGGCCAATCGTGGCAGTTGCATACGCAACACTTGCGGCGAGTTTATCGCCACGTACCAAAACCTGTCCAACACACCAGAGCCACTTCATTCTTCTTAACACTTAACCAGCCGCGGACACATATATAAATGTTGCACACTGTGGGGGTTATAATACTAGGCGCTAATACATTATACGTCGATTTCTGCTTATTTAAGGAGATACCCATGGCGTCCAAAGGGCTTTAGGTGTGTATGTAAAAGTGGGGACAGTATTAATGAGAGGGAGATTATAAAGTTTGAAGAGGGGCTAAATAGCAAAGTAGCTGTTGTTGTATAAGACATTTAACAAGGTGGTAGAGCTCAAAAAGTACTTGCATGGGAAAAGTGATGCTGGATCTAGATTAATGTTTAAGTTCAGGTCAGGCACGCATAGGCTAAATGAGGAACTGGGTAGGCATAGGGGGAGAACCACTCACTTGGGTGTGTGGACACTTCTCTTCACTCGGACCTTGTCCCCCGGTTTGAAAGGTTCGGAGGGAGCGGTGGGGGAGTGTGCGTTGCCCAGGATCTCCACGTTGGCAAAGCGGACCCAGTAGGGCACTCCTTTGCCCTGCCACATGCACTGGATGTTCAGATCATTCAGACCGTCGTTGTCCAGCTGATGTTGGGTGAGAGGGGACGGGGGAAGAAATTGGGGAAGAAAGACGTCACATTAATAATCAACCATGTGCACACATAGAATAAGTGGCCCAAATTTGTTTCCTCTGTTTTTCAGGCAATCATGCATGTTTTTGCATGTTTAGCCCTCAAATAGCTCTATTCAGATAGCTCTGTCTAAAATACATACTTCGACAGTTACATTTCATATTTTTCTGGCAACCGCGTTGTGAATTAATCTTACAGTAAAACAGTCACGATTCAAAAACCACACCCACAAGCCACACCCACCTTGGTGACTCTGCCGATGTCGCCGCTCTTCACTTCCTCATAGTCATCTTTACACTTGACCAACATCCCAACCCTCACATTGTCCCTCACGTAACGAGCATAGTCTTCAGCCGACCCAAAATCCTTCGCCGTCTTGTACGGTTTTTGACCTGCCCACAAAAAATTACCCAAATTTTTGAGTTTGGAGTACGTATTATGCAAGAAAAGCCAGATTACGTACAATTATGATTTGCCGTACGTCTCATAGCCGTTCCAACCTGCTGTGAACTTATCTTTCTTTTTCACCATTTCCAAGCAGCGCTACTTCGTAAAACAGCAGAGCGTGAAGGGGAGCACGGCACACAGCACATGTGTGATGTGTTGAGTTATGCGAGTTATGCGAGTTATGCACATTAATTGCTGTACTACGGTCCACACAAACACCATACCTGGTTCAGGTACAAGGAGTTCGTCAGGGACTTCGATGTCGTCATCGGAGACATCAGAAGACTCGCTGGAGGAGATCCCCTTGCCTCCTCTCCTCCCTCCCTCCCTCCCCTTCTCCCTGTTCTTGTCCCTCCCCCTACCTGCTTCACCCCCACCTTCTTCTCGGCCAGCCTCCGAGGAGTCTGCCTCTGTCGAAGAAGCCTCGCCTGATTGGCTCTGGTCCGCCTGCTGAATATACTCCTGCAGTACAGAGGTTAACACACTATAGGGATCTGCTGCTAAAAGACAGGTGTGAGGTTGGCTAAAATCGACACTCTAAATTTGGCGATTGATTTCAAGTCTAACTGCCAAACAGTCAGATTGAAACGACAAAAACTTACCAACCCAACTTATGTAGCATATTATTGCACATAAACTGCAAAGAATTAACTTACAGAGTATGGAGTGCATATACCAACATGTAGAAATTATAATATATGCACCTGATTGGTGGGGTCCAAGAGCCATGCAATGAGCCTCTCTGCACTGCTTGTTCCTCTGGTGACCTGAAATACACAATACAGCTGAACCTCTTATGAAATGACATCCATTGCTAATTCTGAGAAGACAAACACTCTATATGGCCGTGGCTTAACGACAGGCCCTTTTCGATCCAGTGCTAGTATATTATGATTTACACAGCACAGACCAGTGCATTTTGGCATTATTTAACCCAAAAAAGGACACCCGTCTCAAGTCGCCCTTTGTCCCTCTTTCAAAACGTTTTTCTAGAAATAATACGTCACTGACCTCGATGGCCTTCTCAATATGATGCCTGGGAAAACCCATCTCCATTATCTGAGAGACGAGGGGACTCGGGGGAGGCAGTTCTGGGGCGGGTTTCACTCTGGTTTTGCTGGTAGCCGTGGCTTTGTTGGTCGACGGCTGAGACGGCGGCGCCACCCCAGAGGAGTGGTTTTTCTTTGGCTTCGACTTACTGCCGCCGGAAATGGGCAAGGAGGGAGTGGGTGTGGTTTGGGGCGGAGTCAACGGTTTGTGCACCTCAGACGCCAGGTACTGGCACACAGACACAGCTGCAGCCTGCAACAGAAGAGAGATTTTGATAGATATTAATTGGGGGGCCAGTTACATCAATCGCACATGATACCCATCTGTTTTAGTTCAACGCCTACTCTTGCGTCACTTCTGCGCTGATCTAGTTACATCCCGTGCTAACAGACCATGTTAATGTGGTTTAGACCTGTACTAGTAATCCCACCTGTTTTGCAGACAGAAGTCTCAATAGTGAATGTCTGTCATTGGAATGACTAAGGCATGCGTCACATGTTGCACACATTATAGACTGATTTGGTGTGGGAGCACCCCTTCTTGGAAAGTTAATGCGACAGTCTTAGTGCATGACGTCTACTCTTCGGTTTTATTACTATACTCGATCCACTTTAATCTTGTTACGTGCGGTGTCAACAATCCAGATCATTGTGGTTTAACCTAATACATCCCACTTGTTTATGGGGTCGATTTCAGCAGTATCGGAAAGGAAAGAGTTACCATATGCATGCAACAGGTGAACCACATCCCATTTGTTTATGGCAATACTGAACGTGAGCCTCGATGCGATGGGAAAGACTTGCAGGCATGCTTTGGGAGCGTGCATGCCACATAACTATTGTAGCAGATTACACAACACTTGAGTGATGTTTACGCATTATTCAGCGTGTATATACACAACATGTAATTATATTATGATCCTACTATTACTCGTAGCGTTTTTTTATTTTTATGGAAAGAGCTATCAAGGACCTGTTGCGTCCATTAAATACAGCATTTGTATGCAACAAACCTCCACTGCAGGGTGACTGTTACACTGTATAGAGCCAAATATTTTGAAGCTCATTCATAATTTTGGGGGATAATACTCAATCTTAAAATTTTTGGGTCCGGATAAAATATCACAAATACTACTTCTGAATAGTTATAAGAACCTTTGAGATACGAAAACAATTTTGCACCACCCTACCTCAAGTTCATTTCTGGTGAACATGGCCTTGATAGGCGACGGTCTGGTGGCGGCACTGAGCAGTTGCTGGAAGAGACTGAAATGGCCGCCGTCCTCCGAGTCGCCAGTTCGCGACATGATCTGTCTCAGGTTCTCCTGCTGGCTGAAGAGGACGTGGGCCGCCTTCAGGAGACCCAGTCTTATCTGCTGCTGTCTCAGTAGCGGAACGTCCAACGATGAACCTGACAGTGAGGTAAAACGATGAGCACTTGTGGCAGTAGACGAAGAAAAGAGAGAAATAATCGGTTTCTTGGGAATAAGGCGGGCAACTGGCATTTTAAGCATAGACATAGAAACCTGCATTTCGGTTTCATAGCTATTGAGGCAGAACTACAACTGCAAAAGAGTATTGAACCAACGTGCAATGATTGGCTCTAATTTCTGATGTGGACAAAAGTCTATTTTTCACGATGAGGCTATACGTCATTGAGGAAAAGAAGGGGTGATGGGGGAAGGAGAAGTATAGGAGACAGATGAGAAGAGAAAAGGAAGGGAGAAAGGGTAAAGAAGAGTAGGGAAAGAAGACAAACAAGAAGTTGGAACAAGTGAGGTTTCATATTCACTCACCATCAGAAGGGAACTTTATGACAGGTCTGGTGGAAGTGAGAGACTGTATGTTTGACGCCCCAGAGGATGGTGGAGTTGCCATGGCAGCAGCTGCCACCCTGCCTCCCGGTCCAGAGAGACGAACGAGGCTGGTCCACACACCCATCACTGTCTCACTCATTGGTAGCTGGTCGACACGGAAACCCAGTACAGGCAGCTGCAGGTTTTATGGCGAGGAAAAATAGGGAGAGTAGTAAAGAAGAGGGCTAAAGAGAGAAAAAGAAAGTGAGAGTAAAAATAAAAAATGAGGTCCCACCGAGACTTGAACTCGGATCGCTGGATTCAAAGTCCAGAGTGCTAACCATTACACCATGGGACCGCGCGCTGGCAGGTGCTCCCAAAAAACCATTCATAATCTGACCGCGCACTTGCCAACTTGCATTACACTTCCGCTTCCGGGTGTTAGGTAATCTGCGCGACATACCACTCACGCATGCGCGTATATACACCCTGGAAAACCTTACTGCTTTCACGGCTCCAATATGGCACGACTTCACGGCTTTTCTTCCATGGAACAAAACCACGACCTTTGACTTGGTTTCAATCTTGACGACCGTCCCTGGCCCCAGCTCCTCGTGGTGCACTAGACCTCCCAGTCTTGGGCGAGTATCCCATCCACCGATAGACGTTAGGATGGCAAGCACCGGGCCATAGGTGTCAACATCTGCTTGCAGCTATGGAAGAATGGTAGCACAAAGTTTTGGAAAGAATGAAAATGAGAATTGGAGAAAAGTATGACAAAACCACACCATGATTAGTAAAAAAAGTGGTATTCAGAATGTTAAAAGTGAAATTGTGTCATGGATTTAGAACAAAGCGCTACAAAATTTCTCACAGCTTTATTCTCTTTCTTAGGAGTAGGTTGGTTGTCTGGCATTGCAACAATGAGGTGAGGTATCTTCCTCAGATGTTCTCCGATGTATCTGTTGATGAGAGAGTTCCACGCTCGCAGTGGGTGGAGTCTGCGGACGAGAACGACAATCTCCTCGGCAACGGTGCTACTTGAGGAGGCAGTGAGTGAGGCGTGCAACTTCACCTTCTTGTGTTTACGACCCTTTTCTGAGCGAGCGAGCGAGAGAGGAGAGAGAGAGACCATCATGACTTGTGTTTCCTTTGGCTCAATGCACCGTACATCATCATAGTATGCATGCGTTTAGATTATACACTTCTTTATAATGACTCGCCCAGTGGTCTTGCGGGCCATACATATTTTCCGCGCATGCGTTGTGGTGCGCACAGATTGAGGAAGGGGAGGATGTGCATTTTCCCCTCACCCCGTTTACGCGCACGAGCCCCAATGCATGCGTGGAAAATGTGGATGGCCCGTGAAACTAGGGCACCAATAACAGTATGTAAGGTGGTCCCTACCAGTCTGGTAGGGTTGTATGAAGGGAGAGCTACAGAGAACAAGGACTCTCCCAAGAAGACGAAAGAGACGGTCAACAAGATGTTCCTGTTGCGTCTCGTCTCTTCCAACCTCCCAGGCGGGCAGGATGGCCCTCAGGAGACGGAGCGTCAACACCTACAGACAACAGAAACACAGCAAGAGTATTGACATCTAGGGGAGGTGGGAAGGAGGGGGAAGAAGGGGTGATAGTCAAATGCCTCCTAGTAAAATTCATTCAAGTTCAGCGGAAGTGGACATGTGAAAGGGGTGTATTTCTCTGGGTGTTTGAGTTATTCACTAGCAAAGGTTCACTTGATGTTTTGACTCGTTTGTGTGGAGAAGAAAATATAGTATGTAACTCACGAATAGCAGTCAAAGTGTATATTATAATTAACTCTATATGTGTATAGATAAGGTGTGGGTAAGAACTTGTGTTTAAAGCAGTCAAAGGTGTGTATAGCAGTCAATGGGGGCGTAATTCTGGGTGTGTGCGGTGAACTGACCCCAACTAAAACCTATTCACAATGGGATCGTGAGCTTTATCTGAAAATGAATAATGGGACTGTTTAGAGGCGCAACTTGGTACATGCATGAGCAACAGAGCTTGTTATATTGTGACTATTAGTGCACACCTGTTTCACGAGAGGGTAGGGAGATTGTTTTTGGCCGGGAAACGGAGGGGAGGGCATTCTCAATGAGCCCCAGGAGCAGCTGTATCCACTGAGGGGTACAGAACACTGCACTGGAGTGAGGAGGAGAGGCCACCCCTCGGAGGAAACCCAGGGTGACCCACGAGTCATTTTGGAGGGAGGTCACCTTTGATTGGATCTGATCATCTGGTGACAGGAGGGAGGGAGGAGGAGGAGAAGAGGGAGAAAGACAGAGGGAAAGGAGGAGGAGGAGGAGGAGGAGGAGGAGAGAGTGTGTGTGTGAGTACAGTAGTTCTGTCTTGGAATGGACTGAGGACAGTATATACCAGTCTTGGCTCCAGACTGGAGAAGGTGGTGGAGCAGACTGGAGACTGAGCGAGTGTGTCTGGAGTTCAGAGAGTGGCAGTGCATGGACATTCCAACCACCACACTTCGCAATAGACACACAACAGAGTCAAGTAATAGTCGACTGGGGAGGTCTGGAGCCTGTAGTGGCTTTGACAAACCTACCAGACAAGAACGGAATAAGTATATACACGCAAATAAGTGGGAATGCAGAAGCGAGAATGGCTTACATCCACCCTCCATTCACAACATTTTAACTACACATACAGCCATCACACATACGTATGCATTCAAAGTCTTCAATACATACGTACGTACTCACAGATGCTAATGTCGGCGTCTTCTGGCTCGTCCTTTGTCTCTCTCTCCTTGGCATTGGGCTGCAGTTCAGAGGGTGCGAGAGTGAGGTCGTAGCGATCGTTCTCTCCCATTCTGTAAGAGTTCACTGCTCCATTGTCCCAGCGAATCCTCACCCATCCGTCCCCTCCTGGGTCCCGGATGACTGTACCTTCACCTGGACCATCCTGAGCAGCAGAGAGAAGAGGAGCGAGGGAAAGAACGCTAGCTAGTCAAATATAGTGCACACAATTTACCACTCTCTGCATACATAAATGTTGCTCCACAGAAACGAATGTATGATAATATTTAGCCAAGACAAAAATGCAGCAAAACTTTTTAAAATGCGAAATTTTGCGGCTCAAATATTTAGCTTTTGCACATTGGCTGTACGTACCTGGTCTCCCCATTTCCAGTCCTTGCCTCTCACAACTCGAGTGCCGGCCTTCATTCTAGAGAGGGCCTCTGGACCTGAGACCTGTGACTGTTGGGTGTCTCCTGGTGCACCCACCACTGATCCGTCTTCATCCTCCGGCCTTTCATCTCTGTAGACAGACGCTGAGAGGCACAGACAAAACAGAAGTGTAAAATAAGGCATATGTGGCACTACCAGCCTTGCTTGTGACTACACTCATCTTTCCCTACTGAGTCTCAACTCTGATCTATTCTTCACGTGTTTATACGAATGACAATTATAGATTACGTCATGAGTAAGCAGTCTACATAGAGTATGGGTCCTACAGGCATAAAGAAAGTGAAAGTGCTCTTATGGATTAAAACATAAAGAGCACTAACCTGCCAGTCTCAGTGCAGTCTGAGCCAGACCAACCACTCCCTCATTCAGCAGAAGAGAGAGATCCACCGCCTCGTGTTCCCCAGTCAACATGGCAATGGCCGCTATGATGAACCTCGAGGAAGAGAACGATCCAACAGTGTAGCCAGTGACGTCCCCAGCTCCCTGCTCCCTCTCTCTCTCACCTACAAAAAGATGGTCTTTTAAGAAGTTTCAAGCAAAGTGTCATGCCAAACAATAAGAAGAGTCAATGGGTGGGAAGAAGATTTAGGGAAACCTCATAGGTGTAATTTCAAAGTGATTTTGATTTCCATGCATATCCCAAGCACGCAATACAGACACTTTTGTCAAAATAACAAGCTCTCAAAAATGCGTTCGTTCCATCTATGTGAGATATTACCCACATACCCAAGATGTGACGGACGACATACCCACACAAGATGTGAGAGAGAAAGATAGTGACGTACCCTCCATTTTCCTGGCCTGAGTCTTCTCTCTGCGAAGTGCCAGCTGAATCTCCCACACAGCTCTCCTGAGTCTCCCCACCGCCCACTGCTGGACCTTCTGTTGGTCCAGCTCCAGAGATGTGCGGAGGGAGGGAGGGAGATGCTCCACCCCATTCAGGTAGTGCAGCTTCAGAACACTGGGGGAAACATGCAGCAAAAGACATTGGTACTTAAAAGTCTGGAAAGTAATGAACCTCCCTAAACAAATATATTGGTCTAGTAGAGCCACACTTTACGTAATCCGTGAACGGAATCAAATCAAACATTAGTGGTGAATAGCATGACAAAGAAAGATGTTTCTGATTGCACTGTCAATGCAGAGCTTCTCCAGAGTTTTTTTAGACAGATGTGTGCATGGATTAAATATTCTATCTGGGTCTAGAGGAGGCAAGGCTGGCAGAAAAAGTGGGTGCCATTACTCCCCTGTCTTCTTTCCCCTCCATACTTTACCTGGGTCCAGAGGAGGTGAGGCCGAGCCAGCCACAGAGAGCAGCATACTGAACTGACGGCAAGAGAGAGTCCTGTCTGACTACCTCCAGTAGGTACCTCACTCCCTCCTGACGCAGAGCTGCTCGATCCATCTACAACATGTGTAGAGAGTTGGCTAAAAAGTCTGAGAACCTGCATGATTCCTACTTGGAGTACTGTGCCATATGGTAGTGTTCATTGACCATTCATAGGCTTCTGGAGCCAAATATATATTTACCCCAACCCTCTGTTTGCATCCGGGGATGTCCCTGCATATGAACCCCTAATATTTATTGCCCATCCCTGTGACGAAAGCCAAAGCTCCTGTGGGTACTATAGAGCGAGTCGACTTTTAATGTTACATGTTTGTCTTCGGACATTTTAGAATCACGATAGATATAATATGTGTGTTGTCCGTCCCGTCATTACAGATATACATGGAATTATTCAGACGACTAGGTTAGCTCGCTTCGCTGGCAAATAACTATCCTAGTGCACATGCAACAAGATACTGTGTGGAATTTCCCCCTAAAAACGAATGTTGCTAAAGCCCAGAGGCTCTTCACGCGCATTGCGAATAGTTATCGAACTTAACCATTGTTACTATCTCGAGGAACCATTTTTCGGTCGTATAACATTATGGTAACATTTCACTTGTATCACAATTTGATGCATGCCCACTGCTAACTTAATCTCGTAGAATATGTTTTATTATAATTGATAGTCAAGACCATGTGACAGTGCCTCTAACCGGGTGCCCTTATGACGCTGAAAACCAAAACATTATGTCTAACTTGCATAGATTGCGGAGCAAAAGTGCGATTAAATTACCTTGAATACTTAAGTGGAAGAAATTCTAATGAGTCTGAGAGAATGCTAATGAGCAATGAAAGCTACAGCTACCAGGACCGAAAAATGGTTCCTCGAGATAGTAACAATGGTTAAGTTCGATAACTATTCGCAATGCGCGTGAAGAGCCTCTGGGCTTCAGCAACATCTCCAGTAAACCATTCGGTTCCACGGGATGTCCCGGAAAACTTCTCTCGCATTGCATCAAGCAGACTTTGCTCAGCCTTCAACATGTTAGAGACATATACAGATCTCATCCTCAACTCTTGAGACTGCGACTGCTCTCTTTTTAGTTCTGAAAGGCGTCGTTGTGGGTCTACAGTTCGACCGACTTTAAAGTTGTTAGTTCCATTTTCAGTGACGAAATACACGTATCCCGGACTAGAAGCTGGCCCATCTGTCTCATCTCCTTCTGGTTCTGGGAATTTCTGGAGTGCAGCGATCTCCTCCGGAGTCTGATACTTGAACTCTTCGGACATGTTCTCGATTTGAGGATTTGAGGATATCTTTGTTTTAGTGGTTACCAGTTGAAGATCCGGTTGCAGTTTCTTTCAGTATAGCATGCCCTCCTTTTATATTGTGCTGGCAGATTAAGGGACTTTCCCAGGGTATTTCCCAACCCGATGTTTCTCAGCATCTCGAGTGAACAGCCAAAACAGCACGAGCAAACCACGAGCGACAGTGCATGAGGTGACTGTTCACCATTGTCCGTGTGACCGTATTACATCAATGGTGACAATTAGGTACAGGCCCGCTTAACTCACGAATCAAACACGGCACCCGCCAACGAAAAGTGAAAGTACGTTATTGTTCGCCGCTGTTCATCTTTGGTGCATTTCTCATTTGTGACTCCAATGATGTTTAAACCACAGGCAGCTTCTTCCAAGCTCAGATGAATACGAACGACATTATTCCATGTACACACAACAGGATTTTAGGAACATACATATTGCGTCTATAGCCAGCAAAAGTCTTTGATTGCTAACATTAGTATTGCACTGCCATTGACTTGGGGTAAATTCAAATACCCCCAACATTCTGTGACTGAGTTACATACTTTCATACTTTGATTTAGGTATTCACTCTGCACTATTGCTGTCGGTTTCCAGTATAGAATCCTTACCATTATTATGTTACCATTATGTTGTACATTCTGAAGTGCTAGAAAAGAGTGAAACAAAGAAGAACCACAACAGACCGTGTTACGGTAGTTAGTTTGTTATGGTCGTTGCCAGTGGGGAACTTATGCCACTATGCAGTTAAGCCTTTGACCCCATCTTACTGTGGTACTTGCAAGAAGCATCCTAGAAGTAAAACTTAGTTTCTTCCTTTCTCGCTTCTTTTCCTCTTTCCTCAGGAAAGGCAGCCTCATATGTGTGGAGTGTACTACACCAAAAACCGCTTGGTACTCACCTACCAATCGTACACACAGTCTGGTCTGAAAGGAGAAGCAGACCAGACTTACCAGTATAACACTGTATCTGTTAATTCATTCATGCAGGTATATACAAACAATTTTATTCGGTGCTACGTATGTACATAAGTTCTAGGAGGTATCTCAGTATTTCAAGTCTTGGGGCTCTTCAGTGACCCCTCACACAGTGCTCATGAAAAGCCTCTTCGCCTGTGCCACATTTCCGTAGAACCACTCGGTCCCACCATCTGTTGTTTGGTAATTCTCTCTCATGACCTGCAGTACACGTGCCTCAGCACTCGCCATAGCTAGACACACGCACTGGGTTCATATCCAACCTCCGAGGATTCCCCGTCTGAAGATTCATACGGCGAGTGTTTGGATCCACAGTCTTGCCGACCTTGAAATAACTGGTGTTTCCACTTTCGGTTATAAAATAAAACGTAGCCCTGACCATCCCCAAGGAAACTACCACCATCTGTTTGTTACTTATCATCCCAGTGGAAAACAAAACTATAAAGTTGAAAATCCTCGTGTTCGCATCCCAACGTCACAAAGAGGAAATCCACGAAAATTGGAATTTGTACCTGATAGTACGATTGAAGTGAAAAATGGTCGTGATGCAGAGAATGCTGCAGAGAAAGCCTTGGTGGATTACAAGTGCAAACTTGGAGGAGGAACGGAATGGTACACGGCCCACACTCGTCAGGAAAAAGCCAAACTGATTCAGACATACAAGAACGCAGTTGAACCTCATAAGAAGATTTAGGGTAGCATTTAAAACTCTAAAAACAAACTAAGATGCACTATAGCATAGAAATACTTCTGTGTGTATGAATATCAATATGCAGCAATCTTTGTCGACACAAAACAAGGGTGTTCAGACGCAGAAAGTTACACTTCCTTTTGGTGGTTAATTGACATTCCTAAGCGTGACTAATTGACAACGTACGTACGTACGCATATCGCGAGAATACAACCCGGAGTAGTTGCCTCGCGCTAATGCGCTCGGCAATTATAGGTTGGCAGGAATAGCAAGGAAGTGTGATTTACTGTGTTAAAATTAATGTAGACATCGCCCCTGATTTGAGAAAATTAGCAATTAAAAGGTACATCATAATCTATGAGTTCTAGGCGGTAGTTCAAGGTCAAGTTGCAGTCCTCAAGCAGCGTTGACAATGGCCAGAAACAGATTGTAGGCTTCTGCCACATTTCCAGAGAACCACTCTTTTCCTCCGTTTGCTCTATTGTACTTGGCCGCCATAGCCTCCTTCAAACGGTCCTCAACTTTCATTTGAGGCACTTCAATTGCCTGCATTGTCAACTCCCGAGGATTCCCCGTCTGAAGATTCCCAGCGCGAATTTTCGGATTCACGGTCCTGCCGACCTTGAAATAACTGGTGGGTCCGCTTTCAATCATAAAATACACGTAGCCAGGATCGTCTGCATCGATAGTACCGCCATTAGTTTGGACAGTACCACCATCAGTTTGCTCAGGCTCGGGAAATACTGGCAGAGCAGCGATTTCTTCCGGTGTCATTCCTACGAACACCTTCTTGGTCGTCTTGGTTTGCTCCTGGGCCATCTTGGTAGCAGTGATGCTCAGTATTTGCTCTCAGCTACAGGTGAAATGGAGGCTGTATGTCGTTGACCCTTACACTGATCCTTTTTATAGCTAGTGAGAGCAGGAAGAGTACTTTCCCTGGAGTAAATAACTCCGCTACCTCATATGTGTGATACTATATACACCTCCCCACTTCTTTTCCTCATTAACCCTCGGCGCGCATGCGCAGCGAGGGTTACTGTACTTGGTCGGTGTGTCTGTGTGTCCGTGTGTCCGTTCACGTTTTCTGCCACTAGGCGCAACAAGATCGCCAAAAGTCTACGCCAACGGGTTCGGCGCTACATTTGTTTGATTTTAAAACTGGCGATTTTCGTAAAAACTCTGCTTTCAAAAGTTATGGCGTGAAAACCAAGTGAACAAGCCAATATGCAAATTAGCACAGGCTTACCTCGACAAGATGTGCTTGCTCTGCGTACCTTGGAGGCTCAAGTAGTCCCGACCGAGGACGTGTATCGGCTCCCGCATACTTTCTACTATCGTAGCTAGCCTGTGTCAGATTCTACGCGAGCTACTAGTGGAATACCACGAGTAAACGCTACGGCCCGGCCCAGCCCATCAATTAGCGGTATCGCGCAAGCGCAGTTCGCCGAGGGTTTGCACTTCAGTGCTTTTTGAAACACAGCCTCATATGTGTGTAGTATACTACACGGCAAACGACTGTAGCCCTGTCTTCATACACCGTTGTGATTTCCCTGTGTACCCACCCAACTTTTCTAAGTATTGGAAGAACAAGCAAGAGCAAGCACAAGCGCGTGATCGAACCAAGTAAGAGCACGAATGGCTCTATGTGATTATTAACCCACGCACAATAGAATGTGATGTGTTTCATCTTTTCACATGCAGCAGCACTCATGTAACATACATGTAACCCATACACACATACGTGGTACAGAGCACATATCTAATCATATGGAGGGATAATCTACAAGGTCACTTTACATTCAGTTCTCTAACCTACAAGGTCACTTTACATTCAGTTCTCTAACACAAGGTGCTTTTCAATAGTATTCTTGAAGAGCTGGATTACATGGTCTAAGTTATTATCCGTATTATTAAACCACAGCCTTCTTGGAGCTGTCCTCAGATAACCACCATTTTTCAGGGCCTATCTAGTCGTTGAAAAAAGACTGATCATCCCAGTGGAAAACAGAACTATAAAGTTGGGAGGTCTGGAAATCCTCGTGTTCGCATCCCAACGTTGCAAACGGGAAATCCATGAAAATTGGAATTTGTACCTGATTGTACGATTGAAGTGAAAGATGGTACTGCTGCAGAGAATGCTGCAAAGAAAGCCTTGGTGGATTACAAGTGCAACTTGGAGGAGGAACGGAATGGTACACGGCCCACACTCGTCAGGAAAAAGCCAAACTGATTCAGACATACAAGAACGCAGTTGAACCTCATAAGAAGATTTAGGGTAGCATTTAAAACTCTAAAAACAAACTAAGATGTATGTACTATAGCATAGAAATACTTCTGTGTGTATGAATATCATGTTAGAGTGCAGCAATCTTTGTCGACACAAAACAAGGGTGTTGTCACGTGGATCAGACACAGACTACACGTTGTATATTACAGGTTGGCAGGAATAGCAAGGAAGCGTGATTTACTGTGTTAAAATTAATGTATGCATCGCCCCTGATTTCAGAAATTTATTCAGTGTAAAATGAGCAATTAAAGGTACATCATAATCTATGAGTTCTAGGCGGTAGTTCAAGGTCAAGTTGCAGGCCTCAAGCGCGTACAATTGTCAGAAACAGATTGTAGGCTTCTGCCACATCTCCAGAGAACCACTCTTTTCCTCCGGTTGTTTTACTGTACCTGGCCGCCATAGCCTGCAGCACACTCTTCTCAACAGTGTCCATGTTAGCCACTTGATGTGGGTCCATTGTCAACTTCCGAGGATTCCCCGTCTGAAGATTCATACAGCGAGTTTTCGGATCCCGGTCTTGCCGACCTTGAAATAACTGGTGTGTCCACTTTCCGTGATGAAATACACGTAGCCAGGACCGCCTGCACTGACAGTACCACCATCAGTTTCCTCAGGCTCGGGAAACACTGGCAGAGCGGCAATTTCTTCCAGTGTCTTTCCCACGAACTTGGCCATCTTGGTTTGCAGTGATGTTCAGTATTAGGGACAGGTGAAACAGAGGCTGTATGTGGTTGCCCCTTACACTGATCCTTCATAATAGCTAGTGATAACAGGAAGAGCACTTTCCCTTCCGCTACTCTGCACTTGTGGTCAGTTTCTGTGTAGTAGTGTAGTATAGTGTAGGGTTCCAGTATAGTAACTCCCATTATGTTGTACATTCTGCAATGTTCAGAGCTGTAGAAAAGGTCGAAATGTGTGAAGCTAAGAAGTAAGAACAGACTGTGTTATGGTCCTTAGTTTGTTACGGTCCTTGCCAGTGGGGAACTTACACCACCAGTTACCCCATCTCACTGTGGTACTTGCAAGAAGCATCCTAAAAGTAAAACTTAGTTTCTTCCTTGTCACTTCTTTTCCCCTTTCCTCAAGAAAGGCAGCCTCATATGTGTGGAGTATACGATACCAAAAACTGCTTGGTACTCACCTACTGTAGCCATGTTTCTGACCTGCTATAGCCATGTTTCTGACTACTGTAGCCATGTTTCTGAGATGTGAAACCTAGGAGATGTGGATTTCCAGTTTGGAGGTTTGTATAATGTCTACCCGGATCTCCAGAGTGAAACAGTTTGCCAAAATATCATCATAATAATTATATTCTAGTACATGTTAAATTAATGGTACTACGTATATCCCTTAAAAGTTTTTACTATGAAAGGTCCAAGTTGTAGGTATTAATGACCTTTAACAGTGCTAATGAAAAGATCCTGAGCTTCACCCACATCCCCATAGAACCACTCTTTTCCACCACGCGCTTGAGGAAAGCACTTTTTCATGGCCTTCAGTAGATCTCGCTCGGCGTTGGCCATATCAGAGACTTGCACATATTTCATATTCAACTTCTCTGGCTGTGCTGTCTGAAGAGTTTTACGGCGTCGTTTTGGATTGATTGTTCGACCAACCTTGAAAACACTTTCATTGCCACTTTCTGTTACAAAATAGACATAGCCCAAACTATGAGCTGAATTGCCTCCATCAGTCTCGTCTGCCTCCGGCTCGGGGAATGTTGGAAGAGCAGCGATCACCTCTGAAGTTTGATACTTGAACTCCTCAGCCATAATTGCAGATTTGGTATTTCCCCACCTCCTCCCAGTGGGGGAACCCCCTGGGTATTTCCCCACCCCTCCCTCTGCAGGTTGGAAACTTTGTAGAGGCACAAGAGGATCAATCTATATTCAGGTGATTTACTTTGGAATATGCACAAGTGTTCTGGCAGACCCTTTCCCCTTCCATGCTGTAGAAGGTGCATGATGCTCAACATCTATTATGGAAAGTCTGATTTTTTGATGACTAGTCTCCACCTCTTGCACAGTTTACATCATTAATTCATTTATGCAGAAAATATAAACAATTTTAGTTGGTGCATAAAACCTAGGTACATAACATTGATCCTAAGTTCTAGGCAGTATCTCAGTATTTCAAGTCTTGGGGCTCTTCAGTGACCCCTCACACAGTGCTCATGAAAAGCCTCTTCGCCTGTGCCACATTTCCGTAGAACCACTCGGTCCCACCATCTGTTGATTGGTAATTCTCTCTCATGACCTGCAGTACACGTGCCTCGGCACTTGCCATGCTAGACACACACACTGGGCTCATATCCAACCTCCGAGGACTCCCCGTCTGAAGATTCATACGGCGAGTGTTCGGATCCACGGTCTTGCCGACCTTGAAATAATTGGTGTTTCCACTTTCGGTTATAAAATAAACGTAGCCCTGACCATCCCCAAGGAAACTACCACCATCCGTTTGTTCAGGCTCGGGAAACACGGGCAGAGCAGCAATTTCTTCTGGAGTCTTGTACTTAAACTCTTCTTCAGCCATGTTAGGTATATAGATAGTAGTGACACTTTTTGTCTTGATTATTTGAAGGCACAAGAATACTGCAGTTGCCTCTTACTTTTATAGCTAGTGAGAGCATGAAAGGATTTTCCCAGGGTATTCCCAGCTAATCTGCTCTATCTTTTCCAGGATCAGTAGTACCACTGCATTACCTTCCACCCCCTTTTTCAATTCCCAGCATTCAAAACAGATAAACTTTTAAGGAATAAACTGAACACTACATGATTACACAGATAATGTACTAAAGTCCTTGAGATAGGTATACTAACAAAGTTTAAGTTTCAAGCTTTTATATTATCGACAAGGCTTAAGAAAATCTCCTGGGCTTTAGCAATATCCCCTTCAAACCATTCGGTTCCACCAGGCATCGGAACAAACTTATCTCGCATTTTGGCCAACAGACGTTGCTCGACTTCCACCATGTTACCAACAGTTTTACGTTCCTTCATGATCAACCTCTGAGGTTGCGCAGTCTGTAACTGTGAGAGGCGTTTGCCTGCGTCTTTAGATCGACCGATTTTGAAGAATTTACTACCACCGCCTTGTGCAATGAGGTAGACCTCTCCTCGACCAGAAGCTGGTCCGCCAGGGTCATCATTTGGCTCAGGGGGTGAGGGAGTTTCCTCTGGCGTCTTGGACTCTTCAGCCATGTTCTTGATTCAATTCAGGATTCCGAGTTGGGATTGGTTACTGTTGGGAGATCCGTTGCAGCTTTCTTGGTATTGAATGCCCTCCTTTTATATTGTACTGGCAGGTTAAGGAACTTTCCCAGGGTATTAACCCCACCCCATGTTTGTCACAATCAACAGGCACTAACAAGTCACAGATCACCAGCAGCGCATGAATCACACTTCACCACTCTAAGTGATTGTTTACCATTGTCTGTGTGACAGTATTGCTGTGCTAACAAATATATCTGGCTGGTAAAGGATTGTACAGTCACGTGTTTGAAACTTGAAACTAGCACATTCCCTCAAGTGACTGTACCACAAGTGACTATTCAGTGCCTACACAACTAATTTACACAACTACCCCTTTTCGGAATATCTGGATAATGCAGTAATAGTCACGTGTTTACAGTGTCAGCTCTTTGGATTTGAGTTACATGGTAGTCGTGCTAACAAAACGAGTAACAGACACACAGACCCAACTACCCTAACCCTCGCTGCGCATGCGCGCCGAGGGTTAAGTAGTATCAAATATCTCTGTGTAGTAAGGGATTGTACATTCACAAGGGTAAGACCAAAAGCTATTTGGTAGGGATGGCATGTGATATTTTGCACAGCACAAGAAGCAGTAGATGGTAAAGCAGGTAGGGATGTAGGTACATCTTTGGTGCATTTCTCGTTTGTGACTCCAGTGATTTTTAAACCACAGGCAGCTTCTTCCAAGCTCAGATGAATGCGAATGGCATTATTCCATGTACACACAACAGCATTTTAGGAACATACATATTGCGTCTTTAGGCAGCAAAAGTCTTTGATTGCTAACATTAGTATTGCACTGCTATTGACTTGGGGTAAATTGAAATACCCCCAACATTCTGTGACCGAGTTACATACTTTCATAGTTTGATTTAGCTATTCTCTTCATGCAGTGTGATTTACTGTGTTAATATTAATGCATGCATTGCCCCTGATTTGTGAAATTCATTAAGATAAAGCTTGTGTAAAATTTTAAAAGTACATCAGAATCTAGGCAGTAGTTCAGGGTAAAGTTGCAGTCCTCAAGCAGCGTTGACAATTGTCAGAAACAGATTATAGGCTCCTGCCACATCTCCAGAGAACCACTCTCTTCCTCCGGTTGTTTTACTGTACCTGGCCGCCATAGCCTGCAGCACACTCTTCTCAACGGTGTCCATGTTAGCCACTTTACGTGCCTCCATTTTCAACTTCCGAGGATTCCCCGTCTGAAGATTCATACAGCGAGTGTTCGGATCCCCGGTCTTGCCGACCTTGAAATAACTGGTGTGTCCGCTTTCCGTTATAAAATATACGTAGCCACGACCGTCTGCAACGATAGTACCGCCATCAGTTGTGACAGTACCACCACCAGTTTCCTCAGGCTCGGGAAATACTGGCAGAGCAGCGATTTCTTCCGGTGTCATTCCTACGAACTCCTTGGCCATCTTGGTTTGCAGTGATGCTCAGTATTTGCTCTCAGCGACAGGTGAAACGGAGGCTGTATGTAGTTGCCTCTTACACTGATCCTTTATATAGCTAGTGAGAGCAGCAAGAGTACTTTCCCTGGAGTAAGTAATTCCGCTACTCTGCACTGTTGGGGTCAGTTTCCTTGTAGTACGGTGCAGGGTTTCCAGTATAGTATCCTTCCCATTAGGTTGTACATCTTTGAAGCTGTAGAAAAGGTCGAAATGTGTGAAACCAAGGAGAACCGTAACAGACCATGTTACTGTCGTTAGTTTGTTATGGTCCTTGCCAGTGGGCAACTTATGACACAAGTTAAGTCTCTGACACCATCTTGCAGTATATGCATACTTGCAAGAAGTATCCTAATAGTAAAACTTGATTTCTTCCTTCTCACTTCTTTTCCTCTTTCCTCATGAAAGGTAGCCTCATATGTGTGTAGTATACTACACCAAAGACCGCTCAGTAATCAGCTACTGTAGCCATGTTTCTGTAGCCATGTTTCTGAGATGAGAAGCCGAGGAGATGTGGATTTCCAGTTTGGAGGTTTCTATAATGTCTACCAAGATCTCCAGAGTGAAATAGTTTGCCAAAATATTATCATAATAATTATATTCTATATAGTACATGTTAAATTAATGGTACTACGTATTAAAAATGTCTCTAAGAGTCCTCGAGATAGTAACAATGGTTAAGTTCGATAACTATTCGCAATGCGCGTGAAGAGCCTCTGGACTTTAGCAACATCTCCAGTAAACCATTCGGTTCCACGGGATGTCCCGGAAAACTTCTCTCGCATTGCATGAAGCAGACTTCGCTCAGCCTCCAACATGTTAGAGACATATACAGATCTCATCCTCAACTCTTGAGACTGCAACTGCTCTCGTTTTAGTTCTGAAAGGCGTCATTGTGGGTCTACAGTTCGACCGACTTTAAAGTTGTTAGTTCCATTTTCAGTGACGAAATACACGTATCCCGGACTAGAAGCTGGCCCATCTGTCTCATCTCCTTCTGGTTCTGGGAATTTTGGAGTGCAGCAATCTCCTCCGGAGTCTGATACTTAAACTCTTCCAACTCTTCGGACATGTTCTCGATTTGAGGATTTGAGGATATCTTTGTTTTAGTGGTTACCAGTTGAAGATCCGGTTGCAGTTTCTTTCAGTATAGCATGCCCTCCTTTTATATTGTGCTGGCAGATTAAGGGACTTTCCCAGGGTATTTCCCCACCCGATGTTTCTATGAAGCACATTTCGTCCTTTTCTAGCTTCATAGAATGTACAACATAATGGGAAGGATTCTATACTGGAAGACAGGGCTGCAGTCGTCGACTGTAGCCCTGTCTTCATAAACCGTTGTGATTTCCCTGGGTATTTAACACCCAACCTTTCGGAAGAACAAGCAAGAGCAAGTACAAGGGCGTGATCGAACCAAGTAAGAGCATGAATGGTTCTATGTGATTATTAACCCACCAACGCAGTCAGTCAGTGACACACATTGCTGCTTATAATATCATATATATAATCTATATATATATGGCGCCACTCCGACATGCGGCCCTCAATCACATTGTGAAGTGCTGTAGCTAAGATTCCATCTGCACTAGAGCCCAATGGCCTCTGCCGTGAGGATGGGAAATGACCAGATGGTGTGACCATCGTTCCCTGGAAGTCAGGCCGTTCTCTTGTGTGGGATGCCACATGTTCTGACACCTTTGCGGCATCTAATATCCAACACGCAGTGAGGGAAGCCAGAGCAGTGGCAGTGGAGGCGGAGCGTAGGAAAAGGGCCAAGTACCAAGCGCTGACTCACACTCACATTTTCACACCGGTCGCGGTGGAGACATCTGGTGCTTGTGGTCCTGACGCTCTTTCCCTCTTCCGTGATATTGCGGGTCGCATATCTTCCACGACTAAAGACCCCTCCGCTCTCTCCCATCTCCTCCAGCAGGTTTCTGTTGCCATTCAGAGGGGCAATGCAGCAGCAGTCTTGGGCTCCTGCCCCTCTAGTTTTGGTTATGGTTAGTTTTTGAACTTATGTTAGTATATATAGAGTTAGTGTTATTGTTATTGTATTGTTTTTTTTCGTGTAAATATTTTTTGGGTTTATTTAATTTTTTATTTTTATGCGTAATTGCATACTTGCATTATTGTTGTTCTCTCTCTCTCTCTCTCTCTCTCTATATATATATATATATATATAATATATACGTAGAAAAGACATGCAATTTTGACAATACGCTACCAGCATTAATGTGTACATAATGAGTACTAAAGTCCTTAACAAAAGTTAAGCTGAAAGCTTTCAATAATCATTCACATGCGTTTGAACATCTTCTGGGCTGCAGCAATATCCCCTTTAAACCATTCGGTTCCACCAGGTGCTGGATCAAAATTAGCTTGCATTTCGGCCAACAGACGTTGCTCGACCTCCAACATGTTAGAAACATTTTTACGGTCCACCATGATCAACTTCTGAGGTTGCCCAGTCTGTAAATCTGAGAGGCGCTTGTCCGGGTCTACAGATCGACCAACTTTGAAGAAATTACTACCACTTTGTGCAATGAGGTAGACCTCTCCTGGACGAGAAGCTGGTGCGTCAGTGTCATCATTTGGCTCAGGGGATTTCTGAAGTGGGGGAGTTTCCTCTGGCGTCTTGGACTCTTCAGCCATGTCAATTTGGGATTCGCGTTGGGATTGGTTACTGCTGTGAGATCGGTTGCAGCTTTCTTCGGTATTGCATGCCCCCCTTTTTATATTGCACTGGAAGGTTAAGGGACTTTCCCAGGGTATTTCCCCACCCCATGTTTCTCAGTATCTCAGAGTGAACAACCAAAACAGCACGAGGAAATCACGAGCGACAGTGCATGAGGTGACTGCTCACCATTGTCCGTGTGACAGTGTTGCATCATGGTGACAATTAGGTACACGCCCGCTTAACTCACGAATCAAACACGGCACCCGCCAACGAAAAGTGAAAGTACGTTATTGTTCGCCGCTGTCTGTCTATGTGACAGTGTTGGACATAGACAATGCTACTAGGCCGCTTCTTCACTCACCAATCACACAGAGAACTCACAAGAAAGAGTGGAGATACATATATACTCTACTTTACCTGTATTAAACTACATAATAAGCCTCACCAATCAAACAGAGTACTCACAGAAAAAGTTCGAAGTACGTACGTATATACTCTACTATACCTGTATTCAACTACATAAGCCTCACCTGTTTCTTGACAGTGGAGTGAAGGAGTCTGACGTCCACCTCTTCCGTCAAGACAAAGTTTTTGATCTGTCCCAGCAGCTGCGTGCTCTGAGAGACGCCTCCCATCCGGTCCCTCAGCCACTTGAACTTTCTGCCCCCCACAATGTCCATATTCACCTGGTCCCAGGTACTGGACGACTGGGACAGGGAGGGGGGGTCAATTTCTCAATTATATGCAAAATGTGAGAAATTGATTCAGTTAAACAACAATCCCAGGAACTCTTTTCTAAACTCAAATTTTCCACCAGATGATGAAGTTTTGTCTTTTGAAAGTTTCTAACTACTCAGCACTCACCTCAGTGTCGGGCAGGAGAGAAGAAGACCTCTCTAGAGCCATCACTTTCGGGAGAGCTCCCTCCCCGATCTCCCCCCTCCTCCTCCTCCTCCGCTGCCACGGGGACCAGAGCAGGGTCCGCCGTGCTCTTGTCCGGCCCTCTCTTCCCCCTCTCTCGGTTCTGCTGGATCATCTCGTGGGTCAGCCGTCGCCAGCGAGACGCTGTACCCTAGATGAGCAGTTGGAACAAACTGCTAGAGTAGTTCAATACCTTACGTGCGTTATTCGCGCGTGTTTAGATATAATCATGTGCGTTGGTTCACGGTTACACACACTCAGTGTACGTAAGGGTGTCAACAATTTTGCATTTTTTGTAGGCACAAGAGTTGAAAAAGAGACGACCCAACTATCCTTAATACTTTGACTACAGTTGGAGTATGGAATGGTGGCATCTTCTATCTCGCTGTGCCTACGTACATGCGCTCTGACAGAGTGTCATAGGTTAGAGTCCTACCCAGGGCAGCAACTCTTTCTTAAGCGTCCCGAATGCTGTTGAATATTTAACCCTCAGTGTGCATACGTCTATACCTACAGCCTGATAAAGATCAAGGCTTTTATCCACTGCAGGAGTATCATACGATTTCAGCTAGTAAGTTCAGGCAAAACATGCAGTAGTAAAGCAGAATAAAAACTTCAGGAGAAAGGGAGTATTTCTACTGATAAAGCGGAATGTATGATTTTAGTTAGCGAAATTTTCAGGGAAGAACTCTAGTAAGATTGAGATAAAGCACAATGGATAATTCTTAAGAAAAGTTTAGGTCAAATCCTACTATATGTAGTTGAGTCGAATGTAGGATACATACCTAGTGAAATACATACATACATACATATGCTCACAAAATACTTGTCTCATACAGACAGAGAATAAAAGCACCAGAAATATAGGAACACACAAACATACGTACAAACCTGAATTCGGTTGCGATGGAGAACGTTGGTAACGTTCACCAGCGGAGAGCGAACGTTGTCAAGGATAAACAGACATCGAGCTATCGGCTCTCGACACACATCTTCGTAAGAACACGAGGATTCTTGTCTCGCCTTCACCAGCAGAATCTTTGTGTCGAAGACCACCTTACAGACGTCGGCTAGAGAGGGAGGGAGGTGGATCATCGAAGGGTCTAGTTCGTTATCGGGGCTATTTGTCTCCTGTTCGATGGCTCGCAGAGCCACCGGGACAAGGTCGTGAAGTTTGATGAAACAAGCGAGGAAGAGCCGTCCGAACCTCTCCACCGGGTGATCGGGGGAGGAGTCAGTGTGAGGGGATGACCAGGTTTCTATGGCGACAGTAACGGTGGACGAGCGAGAGGAAGACGGTCACCTTTTCATCCTGGACGTCAGAGTTCACGAACCCAGCTATAAACGCGCGGTTGGCGTCCAACGACAACGGCTGTGAAAAAGTTCTTGAAACAAATCTTTTTGTTGCTGGGTGTTTATCGGTCCTGCCGTGATGGTAGAGTTCTTGAGAGGTGAAAGGTTGGAGTTCGAAGCCCCCGGAGAAGATATCAGTCGAGAGCCATTTCTCGCTCTCTTCTTCCTCGGGGGAGACAGGGATGCTGTGGACCATGAGAGACGCTCGGAGACCCTGCAGCACGGCCAGGGTCCGTTCCGTGTCCACCAGAATGGAACTGAGACGGTAGTCAGTGCCCGATGCCTCTGACTGAGTTTGCCCACGCTTTGGAGAAAAGAGCAGGAGAAAATGTAACTCAACTATACTTAAAGGGAATGTGGCAGTAGAAAGGATAATTTTTTTGCATTCTTGCACTGGGCCCTATCGATCTTTAGTTACATTTCTAACCCTTACACTGACACATTCTCTCTAGAGTTGTGTTAAGAACCAACATACCACAGAGAGCCTTCTTTCACAAACAGCAGGGAAATAGTGCACTTACTATAAGTGAAAATGCCTACTTGGCAGGAATACACTTACTTACTTACATACATACATACATACATACTTACATACATACATACATACATACGTACATAATACACAAAATTTGTCTACCAAAATTGCCAGCTATAATACGTAGTACTACCAATGGTACCAGTGTGTAAGACAGTGTACTGTGAAGAGACTTACTTCAGTGTAATCTCCAACGAGACATTTCTCAACCAGGGCCATTGCTATATCAGAGTGATCAGCGTCGTCGAATTCCTTCGTGGCATCTTTACCAGCGTACTCCGACAGACGCTCAGATATACACGACCTCTGTGGGCCGCAGACGTAAACAAAAACAATCAACACATTCATAAACAACAACAATCATAACAAAAACAACAAACACATCTTTAAAATAAAGATTCAACCAACACATATGCAAACAACAGCTAAAGGATTATGCCAAATCTGTTAGAAAAAGTAAACAAAACTAACAGATTAAATAGACAAAACATAAACAAAAAACTAATGGATCTGTAAACAACAAGAATTTGTATACACGTCACCTCGGCTGACTCAAGATCATAGACTTTTCCATTGACGATGGTCCAGAACCCTCCAGCCTCGTTATGCAGCTCCACCTCCTCTGCTGTGATAACTGTACGCTTACCTCCCATAGACGGTCCTGTAATCAGTCATCACAACACTTTAGCGACATACAAACTACAATATTATATAGAAAAGCTTGTCGTATTATGAAAAAGTAGAGCAAAATTGCAATGTGTTGACAGGAAAAGAGCTCAATGCAGAGACACCCATGGGACATTGAATCAATGGTAGGATTATACAAAAACAGTAGATCAGTTTCAAACATCAAACTCCCAAGTCAACCCATTCACCCATGTGTGCAACTATATATTGTAAGTCCTGAAACTGAAACGTGAAAGTGAGAGAAGATAGAGACATACTCCTGACTCCAGGCCAGGCCATCTCCCCCTCGTCCTCCTCCGATGAGGAAGGTCGCAGCTGGTTGAGCCCGTCCAGCTGCCTCACCAAGTCTCCTACCATCGATCACACATCTGCCGTCCTGAATAGAGACGGGTCGACCAATCCATTAATGGGACGGATCATCTACTAATGAGCCGCTCAGCTCCCAGCCATACATATTACTATTGCTTGTGTGATGACTGCACTCTACACTATACATACACTATCATAGTCATAATCATTCTCATTGAACTATTATACCGTCATTTCAGTCATGCACACACACTAGCATGCGCTCAAGTAATAAGTGTCTGCTCCACGACTGAGAAACGGATAATGTCTCTACACTTGCCTGCAGCAGTAGAGGCATCCTGAGCTGCAGAACCACCAACCCCAGGGAAATTTCGGGCAGTACGACCCCCATCGGCCCCCTCAGGAGGACGGCCCCCACAGCGGTGGTAGTGCTGGGGGGAAATCTGGGCCACGTGGAGCGACCGTGGGCATAATGTGGCCCACGTGTTCGTGAAGCATTGTGATGTACTTGCTGAGTACGAGGAGTGCTCCCTTGCACATGGGCATCATGTTCTGGAGGAGAAGGACGAGGAGGTGGTGTGTTGGAGCATATCGAAAACAGGAACCTCAATATGTAGGTAGGTCTGGTACATTACTACAACTACATACATATTATGTCTTATGCAAAAGAGGAAATGAATGGGGCAGACACGTTCATACCTCTCTCAGGTTCCATTCCGGTGTCGCCTGGGGTACTGGGAATGTGACTGTAGATGATACACAGCAGGAGTCTCTGGAACAAGGTCAAGAGTTCAAGGGAGGACGAGTACTCGCTGGTCGGAGCCTCGTTCCCTGCCTTCACCTCCTCCCTCTCCTCCGCCTCCTCTTCCTTCTCTTCCTCCATCTCTGACAGCTGCATTGTGTACATCAAACCTTCCTACTCAACATTTTTACTGAGAAATAGAGCGAATTGTAGCGAGCAACAAACTATCCTGAATGCTTAAACTAGCCAATAGTAGTAATGCATACCTTCTTCAGCGCAGAGAGCTGTCTGCCAGTGGCGTTCCCCAGCAGCTGTCTCACGAGATGCAGCAGAGGCACCGCGGCACTCTCAGGACCTCCGCTGACCTCGGACAGCGTCACGGACCGCCCGTCCCTCACCTCTGCAGCGATGGCCGCCGTGAGAGCATCTTCGAGACCTCTGTCGGCCATTAGACTGTCCACCAGGAGGTTGATCATGAACTGCTGGCCTGCAGGGAGACCCACCTCCCCCTCCAGAGACACTGCAGAGACGAGGAGGAGGAGAAAAATGTACAAGAGAGAAAAAACTTTACAAATGCAGTTGGCTAGCAAGTGCAGCATGCAAAAAAAGGGCAAAAATTTTTTTAACAGTTCTAGAAGTATGCCAATTTTTAAAGTTATACTGTAAGTGGAAAAGGGAAAGAGATACGTACCTTATAAAAGAGAATCGTAGTTTTAAAAGATGTATTGCTAATATGTACATGTACTGCGCAAAGAGCTCCTTTTAACAAATTCAGTGCTGCTAATAGTCATGCAGTGTGGTGTGAAAGGAAGGAAGACAAAAACACACAAACCCACCGTCTCTAGCCGGCAGTAGCTGGCTGAGAGTGCTGGCTCTCTCTGAGACAGTGGGAAGAAGTAGACTCCACCCAGTCCTGAGAGCTGCTTGGGCCGCGGACTGAATCGAGTCGATGACGCTAGAACTGCGAGCGAGCTCCACGACGCACTGCTTGATGGAGGAGAGGAGAGGGGACCCAGGCTGGAGACCCAGGGTGGCTGGAGGGACGTGCTCTGATATGGACACGTAGAACTGTAGAAGGAAGGAGAAGAAAAGGCCTGGTACTTGTTGTATATACACTGCAACTTTATCGTCAAAAGTTCGTATGTACATGCATGTTTTTTTTCACATACCGTTTAGTGCAGCTATGCAAAAAATGAGCAAGGTATACAGCTTTCCTCTCACCTGAAGTCGGAGGAGGTTGAGGGCAGCGACGGCCATGCACTCTCTCTCGTGGTGCGGCTGGGAGAGAGCTCCGCGCTGGTCGCTGAGCCCCTCGCACACCTGGTGGAGAAGACGGTCCAGCTGCTCGAACGTCGTCCGACACACGTCGACACAGAACGGCAGCTGCGCGCCGACTGAGACCGCCTTCGGTTGACAGCACACAAAACTCTAGGGAAGACAGATACAGACATTATAGATACATTAAGACGTGCATTTTATGCACACATACATAATGTTATGTGAATGCTAGTCTCGGGTACCCAGCCCAATACAAAAGGGAAGAGTATGTATGCACCTAAGACAACGCTACTGAACCATTAATGCCGCCCAAGAATGCCAAACAGCTATTGAATTGGCAATCTACAGCAGCTAGCACATCATGGTCTCAAAGATGGTGGGTTCAACACACCAGTGAAACGTCTATATATACGTATTAGTAAACCACTGCATGCAACATGTTAAAGAACTGGGGAATAAGCTTACCTCATGACTGCCACATGAGAGATAGACCACTCCAGACTTGGACACCTCGCTGAGCACCGTGGGAACCGGGATACACCCCTCTCCCCTTCCCTGCTCCCGACCGATGCTGGCCCCCCAACCAAACACCTCTCCCCCCTCTGTGAGTGCCAGACAGTGGTGTGATCCAGCTGCCACGCCCACCACGTGTTGCCCCGAGAGACCGTCGATCTGACACGGTTTCCGGACTGGGTCAGTCTTCCCGTGGCCCAGTTGATGGTTCTCTCCTGACCCCCTGTTCGCATTTGTTGTAGGCACAAGGGTTGAAAAAGAGACAAACAAACTATTCTTTATACTCTCACTACAGTTGGAGTATGGAATAGTAACATCTTCTACCTTGCAGCACTTATCCCTATCTCGCCTAAATATCACTATCTCCCCTTAAATAAGTGTCAACGATTTTGCATTATTCGTAGGCACATGAGCGGAAAAAGAGACGACCCAACTATCCTCAATGCTTTGACTAAATTTGGAGTATGGAATGGCAATGTCTTCTATCTCGCTGCACCTATCTCTATCTCGCCCAAATATTGCTATCCCCCTATATAAGGGTGTCAACGATTTCGCATTTTTTTTTAGCCACATGAGCGGAAAAAGAGATGACCCAACTATCCTCAATGCTTTGACTAAAGTTGGAGTATGGAATGGTGGCATCTTCTATCTTGCTGCACCTATCCCTATCTCGCCCAAATTTTGCTATCCCCCTATAAAAGGGTGTCAACGATTTTGCAGTTGTTGTAGCCACATGAGCAGAAAAAGAGACAAACCAACTATTTTTAATGCTTTGACTAACGTTGGAGTATGGAATGGTGGCATCTTCTATCTCGCTGCACCTATCTCTATCTCGCCCAAATTTTGCTATCCCCCTATAAAAGGGTGTCAACGATTTCGCATTTTTAGTAGGCACTTGAGCGGAAAAAGAGACGATCCAACTATCCTTAATGCTTTGACTAAAGTTGGAGTATGGAATGGCAATGTCTTCTATCTCGCTGCACCTATCTCTATCTCGCCCAAATTTTGCTATCCCCCTATATAAGGGTGTCAACGATTTCGCATTTGTTGTAGGCACATGAGCAGAAAAAGAGACAAACCAACTATTCTTAATGCTTTGACTAAAGTTGGAGTATGGAATGGTGGCATCTTCTATCTCGCTGCACCTATCTCTATCTCGCCCAAATTTTGCTATCCCCCTATATAAGGGTGTCAACGATTTTGCATTTGTTGTAGGCACATGAGCAGAAAAAGAGACAAACCAACTATTCTTAACTTTAATGAAAAGCACTAAAGTGCAAACCCTCGGGGAAATGCACATGCGCGGTATACTACCAATTGATGGGCTATTACTATGCGTTTACTCGTGGCGCGCAGAGGGTTATTTTAATAAGACTCACCAGGAGAAGACTTTGCCGTCCTTGGTGAGAGCCAGAGTGAACTGAGACCCACACACCACACTCTTAACCCCAGTCAGACCGGGGATCAACTTTGGCACCTTTGTCACCTCGCTCCCCCCTCTCCCCAGCTTCCCACAGTCACCATCTCCCCACGACCACACACTCCCTATATACACAACAAAAAATTTCATTTATGCAAAAAAAATTGGTGCAAGTCGGCCAATGATTTTCATATTCTTTTCAAGCACATTATGCATATATGCACCCACGGTTTCATTCACTCAGGCACCTACAAGAAGGTTAAACCCCCCGCAAGAGTGTGATGGGGTGAAGGGACAGAGAAATGAAGGCGAGATAGGGCAGCTAGACAAGATAAGGTCGTTATTCTCCCTTCATACTGTAGTAAGGTGTAAGGAGAGGGTGGTTACCATCTTCCTCGAGGGCGATGGTGTGGGCATCTCCGCTGCCACAGCCAACAGCTACTATCTTATGGCCACTGAGAGCCTTCACTAGTGTAGGGAGACTCCTGTCCTCCATGTTACCTGCAGTACACATGAAGACACACGCGATAGTGTGAGCGCTGTTCTACTGCACGTCTGTTTTGTATGCGCGTGCTTGCCCACCTACTTCCATTTTAACCAGAATTGCCCATCAATTACCATCAGAGTATTTTACAAAATTCACTAATGGCTCTCACCGTGACCCAGGCGACCGTAGCTCCCTTTCCCCCACGTGTAGAGAGCTCCATCTTCAGTGATGGCTGCACTGTGCTCCCCTCCTGCCACCACAAACACCACGTTCTTCCCTCTCAACCCGTCCACCATCAGGGGACCTTCTTTGGACCTGAGCCAGTGATGCAACAAGATGGGAGTCGATCTAATTTCATAAGTCCTTGCTTTTGTGTGGAGAAAAAGCTACACACCTGGTATCGCCGAGACCGAGCCTCCCGTTGTCCCCGGCACCCCAGGAGAACACCTCCCCGCCTCGAGAGAGAGCCAGACAGTGGCGACCGTTGGGATGGAGTGACAGCTGCTCCATCTTCACTCCAGCAGGAAATACCACCGGCTGCAGGTGGCACAGAGAGAGAGAGCAACTGACTGTAATTGTGGAAATCTCAGTCTTCAGTAAATGGGTAAAGAGACAGTTGTGTCGGAATAAAGGTTCAGTATTCAGTGCTATTCTTAGCATATGCATAATTTGCTAAGCACATAATTAAATTTTGTGTTGCAGATTTTGCCCTATCTTACCTTACAAAAACTGTGTGGGAGCCAGAATTGAATTGACTGTGTGCTAGGGCAGTTGGTACATTGGAAGAGGTAATAGCCAAAAGGCAGATATATATACTAGACATTTGGCTGTCTAGCTATGTACGTATGGTGTTTGGAGCTACGATTGCTTCCCAAGCAGTACACCTTGACTTACTGTGGGCGTGTACTTTTCCTTGCCACTGAGGGTCAGCTTGTACACCGTCCCATCCACGGATAGGACAAACAGCTCCTTGTCCGAAGCGGCGATGGTCTTGGCCCGCAGTTCGACCACGAGGGGGAGTGGGTGAGGATTGGAGAGGGAGGTCGCTGACCCCCAATCACCTCCCCAGTGGTACACCTGGCTCACATGTTGGTCGTCTTCACCAGTACTCTGGTCATTAGTCTACAGATCAACATTACAGTAGAGGCATTGCAACACTGGAAGGTGCAAAAATACTAGCACAAGCCTTCACAAAACACACATGAAGGTAAAATTTTTGCCGCTTTGCAAATTTGTTGGTGCGGCTTCAACCCCCTGCACCATACACATCTTTTTTCGTAAATTAATTCTCACGTAAGAAATCCCACTTCCAGGGAACTTACAGACTATTACTTTTCCATGACTATACTATTCTCTCTGCACAGTCAACACATTGTGAATTCATTAGGGGTTAGAGTACATGAACAAATTCATGAGCAGAACCCTCTTCATTTATAGAATTTTAAACCCCAATGAACTAGCGTTACCCTCTCATTTTCTCTCTCTCTCTCCTACCATTTGCAACGAGTAGTATGGAGAGGCCAGGCGGTCCAGGTGGGACAGGGTAACCGTGGCGACCAGCCCGGGGTTGAGGGAGGTAGACTCGTCATTGGGGAGTGTGAAATATTCGAGGAATGACCTAATTGGATCACTGGTCTCGGACTGTGGAGAAAGAGAGAGAGGAGAGAGAAAGGGAAGGAGATCAGTATATACTTCTGGTTGTCAAGGTTTGATTAAGCCTTTGTGTTTTTGTGTGTTTAACTCCATTTGTCCTCCAATTCTCTTTGTCTGGAAAAGTGTGAGGTGGTTATCAAACGGACGATTAATCAACCAAGCTGGGAAAACCCAGGGAAACTCCCTACAGCCAGACTGGCCGGCAACAGTGATGTCATGAATTTCATTTTTACCGGCTCTGGTTTCAATAGAGTGGAATGGGGACCAGGCAGCGTGGGAATCTGGTTGAGTCGTCTCAGGAACGGGACCAGTGGAAACTCCGCCCCTCCACTCTCGGTCCTCTCCTCCACTCGTCTCTTCTTCACCTCTTCACCGGGCTCCCTCTTCACACCCTCCCACACCTCCACCACCTCCTCCTCACCCTATCACACGAAACACATACATACATACATTATACAGGTACACATGTAATCTTCTGCTCTATGAGTGCAAGCTGTCAACAGGTGCACAAAGGATAGTTTAACACAGCAAAGAAAACGGGAAGGCCAGCTAAAGAGGAAAGACGGAAGGCTGAATATACATGACATAAACTCACAATGCATAGTTGGACCCTTTTAGATAACAGTGATGTAATGGGAGCATTCTGATTTGATAACCCACAGAAATTATTTTGCATACAATACTGATAGTTGCAGAGATCGCCCAAAAGACAATTATCTGCAGGCTGCACATGAGTAAACTAGGGCTGGGTTGAGAACTAACCATTCCTCCAGTGGCCAGTTGGAGCAGAAGAAACACGATCCCCAGCAGTTTGTGCAGCTTTGCTCTGTGCAGACTCAACTCCAGTAGCAGAGAGAGAGCCGCGTGTCGACTAGACTGTGGCACCTCCACCTCCCCCTTCGGGCTGCAGACGATGTAATGATGATGCAATCCACATTTGTACACAACTACTGTGTGGAACACTAGACTTTTGCAGATGACATAATGATGACATAATGATGGCATAATGATGACATAATGATGACATAATGATGACATAATGATGACATAATGCATGCTGACTGCTGTACAATAAAACTTTTTCCTGGGAGAAAACTAAACTTTACGCCACATAATTCATGGATAAAACCATAGTTGGCTAAGAAACTTAAACTGAAAATTGCACGATTCCAACCGCAAATCTCTCTATACAGTTCTATGATGATGACGTAATGATGACGTAATGCGGCTCACCCCTGGCAGATCCTGGTGAGGAAGGTCATGGTTCTGTCGACCACCTCGATCCAGACATCTGAGACGTGGCGAGAGTCAAAGATGAGACCAACTGGTAGCTCCTGTAATATCTCCCGGGCCTCGTGGAACACCTGCAATTAATGACGTCATAATGATGTAATATATGTCATAATGACGTAATAAAGAATGACTGAATCTGTGTGCAAGTAAAGGTGCAAGGGCGGAAAGGGAGAATATGCAAAAAAAGTACAAAAATCAGTGGTAGAATCATTATGATGCAGAACAAAACAAAAATCGCACAATTCATACAACTTGGTGCCTCACATCACTCGCCGAAATTATGATGTAATGCAGAATTGGTCACCTGTTCGCAGAGCCCGCTGTCGTCCTCGGTGCGCCATGCTTGACGGAGGAATGCAAAGGCAAAGGAGAGAGCTGTTCGAGCTCCGATCCGAGCAAAGCCATCCGACACCAGCGTGGGAGGGAGAGGAGCTGGGACAGGAGCGAGGGCCACGTCAGTAGAGAGGGAGGGAGGTGGAGGGGCAGCTGCTTTTGGTACCACCACCTCTTGCTGAGCCGGTTGTCTGGAGTAAACATTGAAACCGAAAATGCAAGTGAATTCTACTAGCGAAAAACACGTGCATACACACACCTCTGTTCATCTTCGGTTTCCCGTTCCCTCTCTCTGTCCATCTTCTCCCTCCCCTCTCCCTCTTCCCCAGCCCCTCCCTCCCTTTCGCCCTTCCCTCCCTCCCTCTCCCCCTCCTTTTCCTCCTGCTCTCTCCTCGACAGAGCTATAAGAACCCTCTCAAACAGCACGAGTCTCTTGTTCAGTCTGCTCAGAGACGATGTGCTGCAGGCGGCTCGCAGGGACAGCTCCTGCTGCTCCGTGGCCAGAGTCCTCACTGCCTCACGGAGGTGCTCCAGGGAAGGCTCCTGGTTTCACAGGGGAAAAATTGAGTTGAGGGGTACTTGCCCCAAACTCCATAAAAATTGTTAAATGCACACATACAAACCAAGTGAACTACAACATTACTGAAAGATATGTTTCAGGTTAAAGAGGAATTTTCATTTTCTTGTTTCGGTAATTTTGTGATAATTGCCAAAGGGCAGCTTTTTTCGTTACAAATTGCCCTACCCTTTATCAGTGTATATCAATTCTGAAATAGGAATAGATTTTTAAGAAGTTTTGCAAGGACTTGTTTACCTGTCCCCATGTCCATTCAGCCAAGATGTTGAAAAATGGCGACCGTTTCTGTCTGCCGACTATTTCATCGACGTCCTTCCCTTCCTCCCCTCCTCCTCCTCCTCCTCCTCCCCCAGCTCTGGTATTGGCATCTCTTGCTCCCTCCCCAACTCCTTGAGACACACACAAATCAACACAATGTAAAACTTTTCAAGACAGGAACCTTCCGTGATTATGGAATTTTGAGGGCAGGCACCATACACATATATATGGCAAGACAAGCAAAATACAAAAGTTCGGTTCCTCCACTGATTTCTGCTGTCCATAACATACTCCCATTAAAACAATCAGAAGGTAAACGTTTGCGAAGTTTGCTGTTTCTTTTTTGTTAAATTTAGTAGGCAATGCTAGGACCGCTATGTATCACATTCATCAAATCAGCACGTTGATCAAATTAATAAAGCAAAATCAATTGAAAAGGAAAATTTGTCGCAATAATTATGGCAAGCTCAAGTGCTACCTTCTGTGGCAGCATCTGCAGTGGGTTGAGGCACTCCCGAGGCCGGGGTCGTTGCCACGGAGACGGACTTTCCAACCGTTTGTAACTCACGGTCGTTTTTTAGCTCCGCCCACATCTCGGTCAGCCCTTCGTCTGAGAACAGCCGCTGGAGAAACGGAGAGAGGGGAAAGGAGAGGGTGAGAGAAAGAGGATCAGGGAGAACGATAACAGACAGAATGAGGTAAGGTAGGGGGGGAAGAAAGTGTTTCACTTTCAGAGTCAACACTCAGAAAATTGACGGGGTATATACCTTTGGATCTGCTCGCTTCCATTTCTCATCAAAGTTGTGGCTGGTTTGGAGAGCCATGGCTGGCCCTCCCCGAGATCCTATTCCTCCTCTTGTCACTCACACACTCTCTGATTCTGCAGCTGCCAGCTGAGCAGCAACCCTACAGGTGGGCTCCGCCTACTGAAATACGGCGATAAAACGGTATCTATGATCATACGCTAATGTTCAGCGGCCGTGCACTACTCAACAGTCTTTAACTCACCTTCAGGATTGTATAATTCGCTTTAGGGGTGCGTCTGCTTCAGCAGATCAAGCGCCTCGTTCACTCAAACTTACTGTGTACAACGCTGCAGTGAATTCACCTTTGCACCGAAACTCTCACTCCTCGCGAGTATGTTGTATTTCGCGAGGACAGTCACGTGAGCCTCACGTGCATATTTGTGGAGCTGCTGACTTCGCTCAAGTTGCCTTGTGTGTCTTCGGAATACTTTTTCTGCGACTGTCTGTGCCATTCGGTGTCGGATCGCTGTCAGGGCTCGTCGTAGACACGCCGTGGGAGGACTTGCACAACTAGCAGCGGGAACCAGAGAGCGAGGGAAGGAAAAGGCAGGCCTGAACCATGGGTCTCCCGCCGCTTGAGTACATCGACTGCTACCTGGACTCCCCGAGTTTTCGCGACACCATAGCCCTGTACGAGAAGGAGCTGGAGGAGAACGCGGTCCACGTCAAGAGCCTGGTGAAGGAGTGTCGTCACATGATACAAGCAACGGAGGGTGGGTCTTTCTTGGCCAAGCTGCTGTAGCTCAGATAGATCATGTGGACTGCCGTGGGAACGTAATTGCACGCTCGGCGTCGGGTATAATCCAGCGATTAGAGCTACAACTTTTCATACACATTCTCTTAGCCAGGCCCACTGAGATGGATTAAAACTGTTGACTTATGCTGGAAAGCAAACTGTTACTAGCCTTATGAACACTGACAGAGTAGGGATGAAAAAACATTTGCTACCAACACTATTGTTGTATGAAAGCCACCATTGCAGGAGACTGTTTAGTCAAAAACATGGCTACTATATAGGAGGGTAGTGGATGTATGTAACAGTGTAACCTCTCTAATCCGGACACCAATAGACAGAAGAAGTGTTCATATATTAGTGTGGTGTCCTTATTTCAGGGATTAAATTGCATACGGGAGCTTTTCTTTGAGGGAGAAATTAGACAGGTGTCGTCATTTCAGGAGTGTCCTTAGAGAGGGGGTTATACTAGTTGTCTAGGCGTGTCAACAGCACAAAGTGTGGGAGTGTCCAGGGTGAATTTGTTGCATGCCTTATGCTCCTCTGGGTGTTAAACTGTATAGAACAATGCCACATTATGTATCTTGCCCCTCTTTGAAAACTCTCCACCGACACATGAGGCATGTACATATATGTCCATACACACTGATTTGGACGAGTGAGAGGAACAGAAGGCTTTGCTTATAAGGACATCCGTCTGCAACTGTTTTGTCTATATAGGAAATAGGGAGTACAATTACCTCTAAAGGAAAAAGTCGAATATGTGTGTGTTTGTTAGGCTATTGTGAAGTTGAAGTGGGTATATACTCTTTCTCTTTCTTTGTCCACTCTTTCTCCCCCTCACCCTCACCTGAATACAGAGTTCTCAAAGGCACAACACTCATTCGCGACAGCTCTCAGTAACTTCAAGTTCGAGAGCATCGGTGGAGAAACTGAGGCTGAGAAGATGATCAGTAAGTCGATCTCACGACACCGTACTAGTATCTTGTGTGTGTTTGGGTGTGGACACAGCACTTTACTGTATTAATGACACATACATACATACACACGTATACATTCACAGTGAACTCTCTGCAGACGTTTGCTCAGCTATTACTAACCATTGAGGACTACCGGCACAGTATGGTGAGCTATACACCACACTCTCTCTACAGGCTTAATGCCATGCACATTACTGTATAGGGGCTTTAGAAAGGGCATGTGGTGTGCATGTGTCTTGCTGGTGGTAATAAGGAGAGAGGGAGATCAGGGAGATGATGTGTGTTGTCCATGGTGATGAAATGTTGTGACTGAGGCATTTCATTTCCTTTGTCCAAATAAGGACGCCAGCTCTTCCATTAGTGACACTGTGATGACCCTAGTTACTTCATACAAGAATAAGTCACACTAAACCTCCTCTCAACCTTCTCTCTCTCCTCCCCTCCTTCCTCCCTCAGCTAAGCACGATTTCGGTTCGACTGCTTCAGAATCTCGAAAGATTCCGCAAAGAGCACATTCAGAGCACAAAGGTATATACTAGTACCTACACACCCTTTACCTGCACTTCACTGCGCACAGTAGCCATACGACCCCAAAGCAATTGGCTTGTCTATATGTCATGTACATGTGTTTCGTGTAGACCGAATAGAACTGTAAGGCCTTGATGGTTTGACTTTGTGATAATGCAGTTGATCCTCTCTCATCTGGACACCAACTGGGGCAGAAGAAAGGGCCCATATTATTAGTCAGGTGTCTGTATATCAGGGGTTGAGCAAGAACTGTTTTTGGGGGGAGAAAACGTGTGTCCTTTTTGGAGAGTTGTCTGCACATTAGAGAGGGTACCACTTTAGTTCACTTTTAAAGAGGTTGCTGCGTATACACATCTCTGTCTTTTTGGCTTGAAGGAAGAGAAGAAACAGTTTGATCGATCGTCGGAAAAGTACTACCAATCACTGGAGAAGAAGCTCGGGATGAGCAACAAGAAGAAGGAATCGGCCTTGAACGAGGTGAGAGGGTGAAAACGGAGAGGGGGGGAGGGAGAGAAGAAAGACAACACAAAAAGGGTTAAGGTAATAATTTCGTGTCATTTGGTACTTAACTGCACAATAAGATGTTGATTATCACTATTAGTTTCAATTCTACCCTATACATACACACAGAGTACACATATTATGTATCCTACCCCATATGTATGTATATCTACATATAACCATTGAATTTTTATCAATGCCATGGTCACATAGTGTTCCCAAAGATGCATAGTTTCATTTTCACTATGTCTGTCTGCAGCACGACCAGCACTTGGAGATAGAGCACGCAGGATTCAGACAAGCTTCGTTCAATTACGTCTGCAAACTTCAACAAGTCCACGCCATGAAACAATACGAGCTCATCGAACCGGTTAGTTACTGGGTCTGTACCGGTTAAACCAGTTTGTCCACCAATCACAGAACCGGTTTAAAACTGGTTTTGACCTGTACCTTTAACATTTTCAAAAACCTGGCTATGTATGTGACTTGATTTAGGACAAGTTCTAATCAGAACATCAAAACAATATTGTTTAAGACAACATCTAATTAAGACACTCTCTATTATAGCTACAGTATCTACTTACATGTATATACAGATTTAATGTGCCGGCATTGCTGGTGATATCCTAAACACTGTTTACGCTAATGACGGTCATGAGGCTAATGTTTGCACGAGGGAGCATTACTCGTACTTATTAGGAAGTTCATTACATCCTGTATAAACTTCAGACGTCTATATACACACGTGTATTCACACTACATAATGTGGTGTATGTGTAGTGCAATGGTTTGTACACCTGTCTCACAGCATTATGCCCATACATTTGGATGTGCTGCATGACTATGTGGTTGGTGCAGCATTATGCCATACATTTGGATGTGCTGCATGACTATGTGGTTGGTGCAGCATTATGCCAATACATTTGTGATGCTTGAGCACCCGAGGCATTTACCCTTCAGAATTCTTTAACCCCCTCTCTCTCTCTCTCTCTCTCTCTCTTTTCGCAGATCATTGGCTACATAAGTGACGTCAGTACCTTCCTCCACCAGGCATACGACAACATATGCGCCCTCAAACCAGAACTACGCGCCGTACAGTTCAAAGTTCAGATTGTGAGTGGCGATAGTCACCATGACAGCCATTACTCAGTCACGCACTATTGTTTTCATGTTCCATTCTCCCTCTCCTCCCCTCCCTCTCTTCTCTCTCTCTCTCTCTCTCTCCCTCTCTCTCTCTCTCTCATCCTCCGTCTCTCTCTCCTCCCTCTCTCTCTCCTCCCTCCCTCTCTCTCTCTCTCTCTCTCGTCCTCCGTCTCTCTCTTTCATCAAACAGTTGCGAGAGACGCAACTAGAAGAACAGCAGAAACAATACGAGTTGAAAGCGCAAGTCATAGAGGTAAGTCTATACCATACAGTACACACACTACCATATTATGGGGATGAACATTTTCACAAAGCATAACGACACATTGGTACCATTGTTGCAGTGGATCAGGCATCCATGCAAGCCTAATCTCTCCCGTACTAGAATCGTCAAAGATGTCTCCATCTATACTAGGGAGTATGTCATCACGTGAGAGGAAATAAATTGCCCATGGAAACAATTACATTATTGTGGCTTATGCAACGTGTCTATTAGACACGATAAGTGCCTGACATTGTATGCACCCGTAGGTGCTCCAGGCAAATGCTCATCTGTTATGACACACACTCGCTCTTTGATGTGTATGTTGTATACAGCGTGGAATTGTGCCGTGCTCGTCGCTCGATTGTTTTGTTGTTGTTGTTGTTGATGGTTGTGTCTCTCTCTGCTCTGTTTGTTTCATTATGGCCTGTAGGAAGGTGTGTGAGTCGGCGTCCGCCTCCCTCGCCCGAGATTCTTGAAGAACAAGGTCTTCTCTTACGTCCAAGATGTCGCCAAGAAAGGTGGTGCGTTCTCAGGTGCTTCTCCCTCTCTCACCTTCTCACTCTCTCTAGTGGGCTGGACCCCGACGCCTGCAATCGCTACTCTGTCAGTTCCACAAGGAAGAGAACGGCACACGAGGAAAGACAAGACAAATGAGTT